CAAGTTTATTCTTAAAGTTCAAATTATTCTTGAATTACATTGTAAATAAAAAAACAAAGCATTAAGTTTATTATTCTTGAATTACATTGTAAATAAATAATAAATGCATGACATTCTCGTTCTAACCTTAAAGATATCAGGGGCAGACTCCAGGAACTCCGGAAAGACAGAATGTGATCGGAAGTCACATGATCTGTCATTTTTTTTCTGTTTCACTGTTACTAGATTCAGAACTGCAGAAAATTCACGTGCTTGACATTTGGTACCTTGAAATATAAAATTGATGCAGCTAAAAATTTATGTGTAAAGATAATCAACTGTTTATTTATGATTATAAATATAAATAACTTTTATACATAAAGATATCAATATATCTAATATTTAACGTTAAATAGCGCCCACTAACTTATAATCCCAATAAAGTCGTAACAAATTTATCCACTCTATCCACATCTTGTTTACTCATTTCTATTATCATTAATAATTTTTTAATTCCAATTGACAATTTCTTATCGAATCCATTTTCCGCTAAAGTTTGTAATGCTCTCTGTCGATCTTGATCGTTGAACAAATCAAGTTCTCGTAGTACAGCATCCACCGAAGTTAAATCAGTGACGTTGGGTACGTAGATTTCTGAATTGAAGCAATCTATCATATCCATTTGCTCTAATACAGACCTTTCTGTCGTAGTAGCCAGAATCAAGAGACGTCGATCCTATCATGAATAAAAAAATAATTATAAATATTAAACAAAAAAATGTATTCCAAAGAGGACAGTTTACTTTTGGTGGACGTTTCTTCAATAAAACCAATAAAGTCTGTAGTACAGAGTTTGAAAATCGGGGACCAATCGGAACCCATTCTTAAAAGAAAAAGAAATTAATGAAATGTTAATATTATTTCTTAATGATAGATAAACGGATATTTATTTTATCCCATACCAAGGAGACGTTCAATATTATCGATTACTATTACGCTTAATGGTGATTTATATGAATCATTGAAAACCTTAGTAATAGCACTCATTTTTGCTGACTCTGAAAATCCAACCATGTTTTCGGGCGAAATTAGCTTTATAAAATGAAACTCTGAAGATCTTGCCAATGTGGCAGCTAAAGCTGTTTTACCACTACCAGCAAGTCCTAATAAAATCAATATATAGTTATTTTAAAGTCACATGAATTATAAATGATATAACAAATATGATAACATATACCGTGCAATAAAACACTAACAACCGGAGTTCTATCACTCTTTCTCACTTGTTCTATGAACAATTGACCATCAGATAATATTCTTTCAACAATAGGTGCGTAATGAATTATCTTATTTTGTACACATTGCTGCAATTCTTCATCACTAACACCAAATGCCGGTTGGACTTCGTCCAGTGCAGCCAAAAAATCATTTCGATTGATCTTCATATTTTCAACATCTGGCGTGACCCCGGCAAGCGTACCCACTTTTACGTGTCGATTAAATGCAAATGAGCTTGCACTCTTTACAAGACCATTTATTTCTGCACCACTAAAATTTTTTGTTAGGCTTGCGAGTTCTGCCAAATCAACATCAGAATCCATTATACCATTTTGTCTCATCTATTGCAATATGTAAATACAGAATATTAGAACATGTACTTTCATATTTATTTATTCAAAATGAAAGAGATTATACTTTAGCAGTATTATTTATTCAAAATGAAAAGAGATCATACTTTGGAAGTATGAATTTTCAAGATTTGTAATCTTCCTTTTTCGTCCGGTAATCCAATTTCCATATGAACCTCCAATCGACCTTTTTTTTAAATTATCAAATCAAATAAAATATTTATTTGATGAATTTGAGATAAATTTCAGAGATTATAAAGTCAAACCTGGACGCGTCAACGCTTCATCAATCATGTCAATTCGATTTGTCATTCCAATTATAAGAATATTATTTAGTTGTTCCACACCATCCATCTAATCGAAAACCAAAAATAAGTTAATATTGATAAAATAAATAAATATTCTATTGGTCATCGATATAATTTTTACCTTTGCCAACAATTGATTCACTACAGTATCACCAACTCCGGTTCCGTCACTTTTGCCACCACGTTGTTTACAAATAGCATCTAATTCATCGAAAATAATGATATGCAAGCCAGAATCTTCTCCTTTAGCTTTATATTCTTTTTCTGCTTCTGCAAAAAGTTTACGAATATTTGCTTCCGATTGACCAACATATTTATCCAAAATTTCGGGCCCATTTACAATTTGAGGTTCTCTGGCATTAAGCATTTTTCCAATTTGTCTTGCCATCAAAGTTTTACCTGTTCCCGGTGGCCCAAATAGAAGAATACCTAAAAAAAAATGCAAGAGCATATTTTTATATTTTATAAAAGACACAAACTATTCGAAAAATTGTTATAAAACCTTTGACATGCTGAATTCCAAGTTTCTCAACCAAACTCGGTGGAAAAATTCGAGAAGCAAATGCACGTCGAAAAATATTACTAAATTCAGTATCTAAGCCACCAATGCCCATATCCTCAAACTTAAAGTCCGGTTGAATTATGGCATTCGGTGCGCTGCTATGAATAATTCAATAGCGATTAATCTTCTATAAAAAAATTCTGATATGTGAAAAAAAAGAACTGATAAAAACCGGTGTGAAGATCCCTTTAAACGGATTGATGAATCCGGCGCCTTCAACCAATGAATAGTGGATTGTTGCATTAAAATACCTCTGCTTGCTACTGCCTGTCCTATAATAAAAAATAATTAACTTCAAAATAAATAAATGAGAAGAATTTATTATTATTACCTTCTTGATTAGTAGTGTCTAATGCGCCTTCTTGCAACCCTTTTTCCATGGCGACAAAATCAACAACATGAACACTTCTCACCACAACTTGTAAATTATTACCA